ATGGTTCAAAACTAAATTTAAAGTTTTGAATCCAAATTAATTTGGTTTGAAACTGAATTTGACTAAATTGAGACGGAATTTAATGGTTCAAAACTAAATTTAAAGTTTTGAATCCAAATTAATTTGGTTTGAAACTGTATTTTGGTTTATTAAAAATTCAGTTTGACTACTTTCACTTTCAGTTCCATAATTCAGATGTTTGTGTCACATCCTGGTCCTTGAGAAAGCCAGGCAGAGTAATCAAACACAGATCCACAGATTTATGTTTCACTTTGGTGAAGTTTCCCTTCTGGATGTAACAGAGTTGATGCAATCCATCAACTCTGTTACATCCAGAAGGGAAACTTCACCAAAGTGAAACATGGAGATGAAACGTTTCACTAAAGAAGAACTCATCCAGAGGACCTACTTATTTTTTTTTAAACCAAAATACAGTTTCAAAGCAAATTAATTCAAATTCAGTTCCTGCTGGCACATTTATCCCGTTCACTCGCTGCTCTGCTTTTACGTTTGAAGGAAGCAGAAAAACTGAAACAGTAAAAGTAAACACTTTAATTTAGTGTAGAAGAATAAAAACAAAACTAAAYGTTAGCATCAAACAGCTGCAGATGAACCAGAGCTGTCTCTGAAACCTGTTTATCTGATGAAAGACACTAAATAAAAAGTATCTAACCTGCTGAGGATGATGATGGTTTATTTCTTTAGTTAATCAGAGAATCTTTTAGTTGGATTAAATCCTTCCACACAAACAGGTTTTGTTTTATAATCCAGGACCGAGGAGCTGATCCTCGGATCTGCGTAAGAAGATTTASTGAATTCTGCAGATTCCGGCTGCAGGAGGAGGGAACGTGTCGCTGACGCTCCTCGCGCAGCGGAGGAGGCGTCTGTTGGAACGGAGGTGGCCGATGGTTGGCCGCAAGATCGCTCACACACACGCCCCCGGCTGCGTTTGGTCCTCAGATTCCTGCAGGGTTCTGTCAGAACAGGTGAGTCTGCAGGAGCTCAAACTCATCATTGTTATATTTACAATCAAACTCTTTCTGCAGACATTATTTTAGCTGTTTGTACATCAAATGTTCGGCTCATTCTTTAACTTGATTTTCAAGCCTTTTCTCCAGGAATTAATCTGTATTTTAGCTTTTTTCCACTTTAATCAACACTGCTGTTAGCTTCTAGCTTGTTTTGCTGCTGTTAGCTTCTAGCTTGTTTTTCTGCCGTTAGCTTCTAGCTTGTGTTTTATTTTAGCTGTTTTGCTACTTTTAGCTTCTAGCTACTGTTCTGCGTTTGTTTTAGCTCTACCACCTGAGTTTCGGCTGTTTCTGCAGCCTTCGGCACTGCTCATTTTGAGGTTTATTTTGAAATAAACCCAAGGTTTTCCGTCGGACCCGGCGGTTCTGAAAGCGGGTTGGACCAGAACCCCAGACTGGGATCAGAGTCTGGACCGGTTCAGGGGTTTGAAGTGAAAAAGATTAACTGATGTTCTCTGTGGTGACTCATTAATCTGAAACTTTTAATTTTCTGCTTCAATCGTTCACTGATTCAGATTCTTTCAGTTAGTGATTAATAAATCTGGACCAGTCCAGACCTGGTCCAGACTGTCTGGTTCTGTGGGATAATAAAGATGTTTTCAGGTTCCTGCGGATCCTTAAAAGACTTTGAATTCATCAATCCAAAAATAAGACCTTAATTAATCTTAAAATGTTTTAAATCAATCTTTCAGGTCTTAAAAATGTGAACACATCAAACACAGGACGACTGTAATTCATCTCAAATATTAAAATAACTGGTAAAAATTATTTTTTTAATATTCACATGTAGATATTCCTCTTTGACATCACTTCCTGTTACTTCACATGGAAATATCTCAACAACTGTTCACACGAGCAAAGTGACATTTGTTTTGTAAAACGTTAATAATGTTGTCTTTAAAAAAATGCATCCATGTATCTAACAAAAAGTTGATGTCACAGACACTTTAAGGTTTCATCTACAGCAAAGTGGGGTTGAGAACAAATGTGGGTCCAAAAACTCCAAATTCTGGGTCGTTTTCAGGAATTAAATTAAGTTTAAAACTGACTGCTAAGAATGTTTTTGCTGTAGTTATATAT